TGGACAGGAGGCAGCCACAGACGCCCCCCAAAACACAGAACCCCGAGTGGTCACCGTGAGGCAGAAACCGGGAAGGGCAGCCGGAGACCGGGCGGCTCTGTTGGCGAGCGCCCTGGGCCTGTCCAGACCTGGGACGGCCCCCGGGTCCGAGGACACGCACGGTGCTCAGAGAGACCTCACGGGGCCCAGTGTGCACGTGGCCGAGGGACAGCAGCCGCACTGACACGGCCACACCCCGTGCGACCCCAGCTCTGCGACCTGCTGGGGCAGGCCGGACCGCGGAGGCAGCGAGCGAGAAGGCCCAGGGCCGGGATGGGGGCCTTCCGGGCGGTGGAGGGACCCGCGTGAGGCTGGGAGAGTGGACACGCGTCGTCAGACCTCTGTCCAGACGCAGAGAACGCACGCACCACGCATGACCCTGGTGTCCACTGTGGGCCTGGGGGCGCCGACCTGTCACCCGTGACAGGGGCTGACGGGCTGCGGGCAGGCACAGCCGAGGGGACACGGCCGGCCGGAGGGCCCGGGGGCGGCGAGGCCCCTCGGGGGCTGTCTGTGGTGGAGCTCGCGGTCCTGGCCCCCTTCCTCCTGTGGGCGCCCCTCCAGCCCGGCCCCCCCCCCAACATCTGCACGTAACCCTCTCTTTCTCCCGAAGAAACCGTTTCTGGGGATGGGACACCCGAGTCGACGCCGCTTCAGTCGGCAACAGGCTTCCGGCTGGAGCACGCAGGCCGCCCTGGAGGGGCTGGTACGGAGGAGGCTGTCGGGGTGCGGGGCGCGGGCGCCTACGGGAAATCTCTGCACTTCCTTACTTTTGCTGTGGATCTAAAATTGCTGCCCAAAAATGTGTTTAAAAATAAAAACAGCCCTGGCTGGTGTGGCTCAGTGGATTGAGCGCTGGACTGTGAACCAAAGGGTCGCCTGTTCAATTCCCAGTCAGGGCACATACCTGCATTGCAGGCCACAGAATAGCACTCACCACCAGTAGGATCTCCAGCAGGGGTGGGGTCTCCAGCAGGGGCGGGGTCTTCAGCAGCATCAGCAGCAGCAGGGTCTCCAGCAGGGGCGGGGTCTCTGGCAGGGGCGGGGTCTCCAGCAGCAGCAGCAGCTGGGTGTCCAGGGTCCATCCTCAGAGCAGGCCGGGCTTGGGGAGGCAGCAGGCAGCTCGAGGCATCTGGAACTAGAGAAGGGAGACACTCAGGCTCTGGGGTCCACACAGAAGGCAGGAGGGACCCTGATGGGCAGGCTGTGCCGTGCCCACCTCTGTGGTCTCGAGGGTGTGGGGGTGCCCAGACAGCCTTGGCTGCCCTGCCAGACCTCCGAGGTAGGCCTGCCACGAGGACCCCCAGGCTCACTGCAGGGGCAAGCCGGCTCTGGGGCACTCGGTCTGCGCGGGAGCGAGTGGGGCCTCGGTGGGCAGGGGCCTGAGTGCGTGCACGGAGCAGGGCAGCGGCCCAGTGCCCCCCGTGCACCTCAGAGGCCTCTCCCCTGTCACCTCACGTGACAGCCCTCCCTCCCGGGCAGGCACTCATCATCCCTCCCACAGGCGAGGACTGCGAGGTCCCAGCTGGCCCAGGGTCGCAGTGGAGGAGACACAGCCACGGCCGGGCAGAGTGGCTCCCGGGCCACGGCCCACCTGCCCTACAGGCCCAGCCGGGAGGGAGGGCAGCTGTCATCGAAGGCGGGCGGGCCTCTCTCTGAGTGACAGCTGAGCTCTGGGCTCCAACAGCCGTCCCGGACACAAGCCTCCCCGGACCCTGGAGGTCCCGATGGTCTGCGGCGCAGGGAAAAGGGCACTGCCATCCCCAGGGGCATTTCTGGGGCTGGGGGCTGTGGTGGGTGATTTTTTTATGTGTCAGCCTGGTGAGGCCATGGTGCCCGGAGAGAGGTGGTCAAACACAGTCCCAAGCTGCTGTGAAAGTAAGTTTCAGAATTCAGACAGTGACCAGCTCCCCCTCCATGAGGCTGGCAGTCCTCAGCAATCAGTTGGCCTTATAACGACTGAGGTTCCAAGGGAGGAGGGACCTCGGGCTCCAGGAGGCCTTGGCCTTGAGTCTCAGCATCAGTGCTTCGGGGGTCTGCAGCTTCCCCAACTGCTTGAGCTAATTCCTTAAAATCCATGAAACGCCCCCTCTGGGTGCAGGCGTTGCACTGTTTTTGTGGGGAACCTCCTGGACTAGGAAACGAAATAAACCGCATTTCAAACGGAGTCGGGCAGGAGGGGGCGCTGTCGACCGCCTCCTGGGACGGAATCACCAGCCACCGGCCACAGCGGGCTGTGCAAGAAGCCGGCTGCCCAGCGCGCGCGGCGGGGCCAGCGCCGGAGCCCGGCACCTCCCGGACCCCTAGCTTTCCTCCAGGGGACTTCCGCTGGAGACGACCTCTCCCAACTTCCTCCTTTTTCTGCATAAAATAATATGCTTCGCTTTTGTCCGGCTGCCTTTGCTCCAGCTTGCTTGTCCTGAATAGCAGTTCTTTGCTGTTCCCCCATAAATCTATTTTGCTGGTAAAATAACTTTTATTTAGTTTTAAGGTCAAAAGGGCCCACTGCCCACCACTACGCGGGGACAACCCAGCCGCAGGGGAGCCGCCTGCTCGCTCGCTGGGACCCCATCTCTGCGGGAAAGATGGGCAGCGCCGGGGAGGGCGGCGGGAACGTCGGAGACGGTCCCCAAAAGTGCGGCTGCGTCGCTGTCACCACCTGCTTCCCCGGGAGAGCCCAGGGGCCTCCCCTCCGGCGGCGGGTTTACGCCGGGCTCCCGGAACGGGCCGGCCCGCTCCCAGTTCCCTCCCACCGGTGCTCCTCTGCCGCACTGGCCGCCGGCGTGGGGACCGTGTGCGGCCTGTGGCCCCGGACGTGCTCCACGCGCAGCCCCGTCCGCAGAGCCGCGGGACCAGGGCTCCGCGCCTGCCAGTCTCGGCGCATGGGCTGGAGGGGAGGGGGGCGTCGGCGGCCAGGAAAGGGCGCTGGGCTGCGCCCCTGCCCACCGCAGCCCCTCGGCGCGGTCCTGCCTCCTGCGCCTCAGCGGCCCCCGAGCCCGCCCGACCTCGCCCCGCCCTCCCGGGGGTCGCTCACCTGAGCCCGCGGCACCGGCCCGGAACCTTGGCCCAGCCGCGGCGGCAGCGTCGGCAGCGGACCCGGACAGTTTTCCCTGGAGCACCCAGGCCGAAGCAGACGGGCGGGCTCGGGGCGGCTGGCGGGGAAGGACGAGCGCTCGGGGCTTTTCGGAGCTTTTCGGCGCGAGTCCGGGGGTGCGGGACTGAAACCGAAATGGGCAGTCTGCGGCGGAGCTGACAGAAAGGGGGCGTGGCCAGACCCCGGAGGGGCGGGCCTGCTGGGCGGGGGCGTGGTCATGTCGGGCGGGGCGGGCGCTGAGGGGCGGGGCCAGATACCGGGGGCGGGGCCATGTCGGTGGGTGGGGCTGGCGCGGTGGGGCTGCTGTATCGCCAGGGGGCGCCAAGGACTGCAGGAGGCGTGTCTCACCTGGCGCTCACAGACGTCCCTCCTGCGTACTAGTGCCCTGCGGTCCTCCGCCCCTGACCCCCCCTGGCGTTGAAGGCGCGCCACAGTCCTAGCCCACCTCCAGATCCAGACGTCCCTGCTCCGCCGTCCTCGGTGCCCCAGCCATCCCACCAGACCCCTCAAGGGACACCATCCCGTCACCTGCCCGGAAGCAACGACTTCCGCAGCGGCCGGACAGGTGCTGACGCCGCCATGCCCTGGCTCAGGGACCTGGTGTTTGACTGGCAGCAGGGCGTGCAGGCTGTGGCGCGCGGGGACTGGAGCTGCGCCCTGCGCCTCTTCTCGGGCGTCCCGGGGCAGCCCGCGAAAATGTGCTTCAACGTGGGCTGCGTGCACCTGCTGGCCGGGGACCCAGAGGCCGCGCTGCGGGTGAGCCAGGGAGCCCCCGGGTTAGTCGCTGAGACCCCACCTCCGGGGTAGGCTGTTCGCTGGCACTGGGGGCCTTACCGCGCGCCTGGCCGGTGAGCAGTGTGATGAAGACCCAGCTGCAGGGACAAGCCCCGCTTCTCCGCGGGTCACCTGGGGAAGTCAGTCCAGCGTTCTGCCTCAGTGAACACCTAAGGCAGCAGAGAGCTCTGTGGTCGAGGGACCCTCGTCCTGAGCTGGTGGAGTCAGGGCCACCATGGGGTTCAGGGGTTCCTACTGCCTCCACTGTGCTGTGACTGTATGGTCACCCGGAAAGGCCGGGTGTGACACTAGCTCAGGTGCTCACGCAGAGGCGCTAACACACCTGGCTCAGGTGCTCTCGCAGAGGCGCTGACATACCAGGAAACAAGCTTGAGGCTGGATCTGGCTGGGAAGGGGCTTGCCTGTCCCTGGAGGTGTAGGGTTTGGTGCAGGGGGCTTCAGCAGATGCCTGTGGTGATGGCGAGGAGACAGTTCTGCACCCAAAGCCCAGATGTGAGGGCTCCCCTGTCTCCCAACCTGCTCCTCAGAATAGAACCTGGGGAGCAGGATGCACAGCGCCTGCACGTCTGGCTCCGCCCAGGGGGCAGCAGGAGCCACTCTCTGCCCTTTAAGGCTTGGTGTCACCCCCACCCCCACCCCCACGGCACACAGGCCCCAACCTCTGGAAAGAGCCTGGTTCCTAGGTCCCTGACGTGGTCGATGGAAACGGCACACATGAAGAGAGCACATCCATGCTCTCGTGCAGCGACATCCATGTCCGTGTCCCCCAAACTCCTCCACCAGAAGGGACTGGGGGCCGCCGCTGTTTCTGACCTTCCATGCAAACCCATGACGCTCAGCAGCCTTTTCTGTTCACTTGCTGTCCGAGGGAGGGCGTCCGATCAGGGGACACCAGGCGGCTCGGCAGCAACCGCGGGCGTCGGGCCGTCCAGCCATCACAGCTGCGTAGCTGTGACTCACCCCCCAGGGCGAGGGGGCACCCCATCGGTTCTCCCCTCCCCCAAGGAGGAGGAGCCTCGTGCTGTCTAAAGTCAAGGCAATGAAGTCACAGTTGAAGAGCATATTTGTTGGAAATTCGAGATTTTTAAAAGCAGTGGAACAGCTGTCATTAATCATTGTTTTTGGGGAGCGGCACAGGGCGAGGAGAGGCGTGCGGAGGCCGGGCTGTGCTCTCCGGGCTCCACGGGAGCCTTGAGCTGGCTGCTGCAGAGGTGAGGGGGCGGGCGGGACAGCAGACACACAGGTGGTGCTGGCCCCGAGCGGCCGGCACACAGAGCCTCCGAGCTTGGGTCAGATCCTGTCCAGCAAGCCCCCGGCTCGGGTACACCTGGTAGCTTACGACCGCCATACACCCTCTGCGGCCTCTGTCCCCTGGAAGGGACAGATGGCGGCGTTTCTGAGTGCGGTTTCGGGAGGAGCTGTGCTGGTGTTCTTCCTGACTCTGCTGGATGAGAAGTGTGTCACTGTGTACGAGCCACCAAAAATAGGATCTACAAAAGACAAAAGTCTTACATAACGGCGCCCCCCTGAGGCAGCTGGCGTCAGTGTGGGGGACTGTCCTCTGGTCCTCTCTCCTTGTCCTCGGGGCGAGCACAGTGGTTTGTGACGCCACCTCGCTGCACTGTGAGCCCCTCGTGGGCCCTTGGGGCTCGGGTGGTTTGGGCTATGGCAGTGGAAGGGTCCCGATGGCCCTGTGCGCCCACGCACGAGCTCTGAGGGCCCCGGGCTGCATAGGGCACTTTCACGGGGCCCACAGAATTCCCCGGCCCCGTGGCTGGTCATCCATCTGGACTGTGTCTGTGGCATGGGGTGAGGGGTTACAGACCTTGGTGCTGTCGGCATTCCGTGGGCACATTTGTTCCCAGGCGTTTGACCAAGCAGTGGCCAAGGATGTGTACCTGGCTGTCGGCTTCTTCCAGCGTGGGGTGGCCAACTTCCAGCTGGAGAGGTGAGCACGGGCCCCTGGCTCCCCCTCTCCTGCGGGCCACCTCCTGCGGGCCGGGAGTGGGGCGCGGGCAGAGCCCCGTGGCCTCTCGTCTCTGCGGGGTGCACACGCTGCAGGTGTCCCCTCCTTTGCTCCTCACCACATGGTCTGCGGTGGGGGCCGAGTGCAGAGGGGCTCAGGGTCCACCCTGCTCACCTTGTCTCTGCACTGCTGCCTTCCCGGAGACAAGCCCGGCCCCCAGGACGAGCCCCACAGGGGGCCCCGTGCTGGGCACGTGGCTCAGCCCGGAGCCTCTCTGAGGAGGGGTGAATGGTGGGCAGGGGACCTTGCAGCAGGGAGTGGGGGACTTGAGGAGCAGGAGGGAACTGGCCAGGGCACAGCTGGGACACCAAAGGGGGTCTGGGTGCAGACAGGGGTGGGGGAGGGAGACGCCCCGAATGCAGAGCTGGGCCAGAGCTGGGCACCACCCCACGTTCCAGGCGTAGTCACATCTGTGCACTGACCCCTCGAAAGCTTCGTGGGGACTTGAGGAATCGCCACTGCCCCCAGCAGGTGTCCCTGGAGCCCGGGGTCGGGGGAGATGGAGATGGAGTGGGGCCCCTTTCCCCACTGAGGGCCCCCGGCTGCCCGCAGGTCCCAGGAGGCCCTGTCCGACTTCCAGGTGGCCCTGGCCCGGCTGCGGGGGAACATGGCCATCGACTACACGCAGCTGGGCCTGCGCTTCAAGCTGCAGGCCTGGGAGGTAGGCCAGGGGCGCCTCCGGGGGTGCTGTCCTGGGTGGGTGGCCTGAGTGGTCCCTCGAGGTCCTTGGTTCCTGCAAACCCCCTCCTCTGGGTCCTGTTGTCTGTTACTGTCCCAGGTGAGGCTGTGTGGACAGAGGCTCCCTCTGGCCAGGGCGCCCCCCAGCCCCCGCTGGTTACTCCCCCCCCCCCCGAGGAGTCTGGGTCCTGGGTCCTGGTGGGGTACGGACGCCAGAATTGCTTCCAGCCAGGAGAGGGGGGTGAGAGAAGGTGGCCTAGCTAAGCGACAGTGTGGGCACTGGGGGAGGGGCACTGGGAAGAACCCCAAATACTCCCGGGGACCCAGAAGCACGCTGTTGTGGAGGCCCCTGGGAACCGTGGAGGAAGGTCCATCAGGCGTGGGTCCACAGGCCCCCTGTGTCCCCCAGCCCAGGGCACTGGGCAACGCAGGTGACTCCCACTGGGCCCCGTTGCAGCGTCCCTAGAGGGGGCCGGCTGGCTCCAGGAGCGTGGTGACCCCGGCGGGCCACAGGAACCCTGGCTCCTCCTCTTCTGCGGCCGCCTCCTCGGGGCCCACTGCCCCTGGCTGGTCCCTACTGCCAACAGCCCTAACCCACCCCACGTGTCCGCCAGATGTCCTTTCACACGGGAGGGGGGACAGGACAGAGAAGGGCCACACCCCAGACCGGTGGGGTGCAGTGCAGGGAGGAAGGGGCCATGGAGGGGACTGGCCAGGCGCAGAATGGGGGTGAGAGAGGCCAGAGGGCACCCCAGAGATGGGAGATGGACCGCGGGGCGGGGGGCATCCCGGGGCACGAACCCCTGAGCCAGGCCAGCTCTGCACAGCGGGGCCCCCGGAAGAGCCCTGGGAGCTATGGGTCCCCGAGGTGGGACGGCAGGGGGGGCCCTGGCCACGGCCCACCCTCACCTGGCCCAGGTGCTGTTCAACGTGGCGGCAGCGCAGTGCCGGCTGGGACTCTGGGCCGAGGCGGCCCGCAGCCTGGAGGACGCCGTCTCCAAGGGGCCCGAAGGCGCCCGCCGTGACCTGGACGCGGCCCTGGCCCGAGTGCAGGTGAGGGGCGGGCGGGGAGGACCAGGCCGGCCGCTGCCCACGGGTGTCTGCACTGACCCAGAGCCGCTCACGGGGCCCAGCGCCCACACACCTACAGACCCCCACAGGCCCACCTGCGTGAGACAAACACGTCGAGGGCCAGGTGGCCCGTGTGCCTAGGTGTGGCGGCTGGGCAAGGGCGCTCCACGGCCCATGGGGAGAGGTGGGGACCCCGAGTGACGCTGTCTGCTCTGGAGCGCAGAGGCTATGGCAGGTGCACGTGGCCAGACGTGGGGTCAGCATGGGCCGGGCCTCCCTCCAGGAACAGGGCACCCTGCAGCCTCGGAGTGTCCCCAGGGGTGAGGTCTTCCGGCCTCTCCGGCGCTACCTGGAGCACCTGAAGCCCATGGACTTCCTGGGCAAGGCCAAGGTAAGGGGGCGGCTTCTTGCTTCTCAGGCCGCAGGCACTCGGGGGCCAGAGGGCCCAGTGGCCAGAGACGGGCAGGCGGCCAGGCCTGTGCTGAGCTCTCAGGGGCGGGCGGGGTCTGGTGCACGTCCCGCACAGGCCCTGGGGGGTGGACAGTGGGCACAGGGCTGGGGGCACGTGTCCAAATGGGGCCCACAGACCTGGGACCGCGGGACCAGGGGGCAGAGCAGGGGCCCCAGGTGCTGCTCTTTCTGCCACTGCCGCCAGGCTCTGCTGGCCCCAGCAGCCCCCACCGAGTGCGAGGGCAGGGGCGGCCGCGCTGGGCCGGGCCGACAGCACCACCATCACAGGACACTGGGGAGCGGCCTGTCCCCAAGGGCGGGGCGCAGGCGGGCAAGTGGCCCCTGGGTGCTCGGAGGAAAAGTCGCTTTGGTTTGGGGTCGGTGGCCTTGGGCCAGCCGGACGCCCCGAGCCACGGAGGGCCAGCGTGCCGTGTGCGGCCGTGTGGGGCCCCGGGTGAGAGCAGGAGTCACGGACACCGAGACCCTTTGCTGTGTCCCCTGGCGGAGGCCGGCCCGCTGGGCGGAGCGGGGGCTCTGGGTGGCATTACCCTACCACATTCCAGTCTCCTTTTCACAGTAGAAGACTTTCTAAGGAGCAAAACTATTTTAAAATCTGTAGCATGAAAATAAGTAAAAACGATGAGCCTTCCTCTACCCAGAGTGTCTCTCCACCTGGCCGGCCCTTGGGTGGTGTGGTGGCCTCGGGCCGGGGTGGCGCCGCCCAGCAGACGGGAGGTGTGGGGTGCAGGCAGGCACCCAGGGCTGGGGAGCAGACACCGCGGGGCCCCTGGGGGTGTGGTTGGGCACCTCTGACCCAGCTGTCCCTCTGCTGTCCCTCACCAGGTGGTGATGGCCTCTGGCACTGGGCTTCAGCAGCCCCAGGTGGGTGGACACCTCCCTCCCCTCAGCCCCGCCTCTTTGCCCAGGGTCTTGCGGGTCAGAGTGCTGTGACCCCCTGTGCAGGCGGGCAGAGGCCGCGCCTGCCCTGCGCCCTCCCTGGACTCCCCAGCGTCCCTCTGATCGGGCACAGGGGGGCCGCTGTCCCGTCCCTCCTGTGGGGCAGCCTGTGAACACCACACTGTCTTGCCTGGGGAAGCACCGCCGGGCCCCCCACCCCGCCCCTCACCCAGGGGCGTCGGGGCACTGAGCAGAATGTCGCTCTGTGCCCGCAGGTTCCGGACCAGGGTCGGGGAGCCAGGCCCAGGGCGGGCCTGAGGTAAGAAGCGGCGCTGCCCCTCCGCGTGCTTGCTTCCCTGGTCGGGGCGGCGGAGCCCGCACACCCGGCGTAGCCACTCTCCGCCACAGGCCAGGACCGCCACGTCCCCTTTTCAGCAGGAAACCGGCCGCAGCCCCTGGAGCCAGGGGCATCCAGGCTCTCAGCCCTTCCTGTGGCCCCGTCTGTGCAGAGGCCCAGGGCGCCCTCTCTCCTGCCACTCTCCTCGGACCACCGCTCAGGCCCCGGTGGGCTCCAGGCAGCAGGGCGGGGTGGCGTGAGGCGCACGGGATGGGGCGCAGGCTGGGCCGTGTCTGCCCCGAGCAGCCGCCCCACCACCACACCTGGGCCTTGGACAGGGGGCCACTGCCACTGGAGGCGTTCAGGGTCACACAGCGTGGGGGGCAGGCCCCTCACTGCCCACCCCCTGGTCTCTGTACTCAGGGCTCCCCTGAGGCCCACCTTTTGTAGAGCCCTTGACTGGGGGGGCAGCCGGTGGGCTGCGCCAGGGGGAGGTGGGCCCTGAGGATGGGGCGCCCTCCCCCCAGGGCCCACGACACAGGCCCCTGCGGAGCCGGAGCCGGCACACCTCTCGGCCCCGGGACGCCCCCCAGCACAGTCACGGAGGTCGGATCTGGCCGGGCAGGGCGGGCTGAGCACCGTGCGCGTGTCTCCGAGGGTGAGCAGGTGAGTGGGCTGGGTGGCGCGGGACAGGGGCCACAGTACCGGGAGGACCCTCCACTCCAGGCTGAGCCCAGGGACCAGCGGCCACAGCCGGGCACTGCAAAGGTCTCAGGCAGGGCGGGCAGCCTCCTCGCCCGTCCCCGACAGGCTCTCCAGGGGCCTGGCCTGCAGCCCGCCCCTCCCAGCAGCGGGCCATCCCCGCCTTGGTCAGGCCCCGTCTCCCTGCCTGCCCTCCTGGCCGCGGGTCAGCCCCAGGCGCTGGGGTTTGGCTGAAGAGGGAGGGCGTGGGCCTCACTTCCTGCCACGCATGGAGGAGGCGGTTCCCCATTCGGTGTATCAGAGACTCCGAGGGAAGGGGGTCACTGCCACCGGCTCCCTGACGCTCCCACCACCCCGGGCCCCACCGTGGCCCCACCCATGGCCCCACCCGTGGCTTCCACCCGTGGCTTCCCTTGCAGAGACCCCCCCCGGAGCAGGCTAGCCAGCAGGCTCCTGTAGGTAAGGGCGTCCCGCCTGCTGTGCCGGGTGGGAGCAGGCTGGCGGGGAGGGGTGCTGAGAGCAGGCTCTCTGGTCCCCGACAAGGGAGCTGGCAGCCTCAGGCCTCCCTGTGGGTGGGTCGTTCTGGCAGCCCCTCCAAAACGCTGCCCTTCGGGGGTGAGGGCCTGCTGAGCCCCTGCTCTGTCCCCCTCGGCAGGGCAGCTGGCGGCTGGGTGGCCAGACCCTGAGCCCTCTGCAGACCCCGTGGGTGCTGGGGTAAGAGGTCCTTACTCCCCAGATATGAGGAGGCCCCAAGACCAGGCCCTGTCCCTCTGAGTGGCCCGAGGGTCCCAGCGGAGAAGCTGTGCAGTCCCTTAGCCCCAGCCTCTCCCGCCCTCCCAGTCCTGGACCTCACCGCACCCCCTGCCCCCGGGCCCAAAGCCCCCCGTGGCCATGAAGATCTAGGGCTGCAGAGACCCACCACCTTTCTGCCTGGCCCAGGGAGTGGCCGCAGGGGACCGCACGCGCTCGGAGGCCGTCACGGTGCAGTGTGCCTTTACCCTGGCCCTGGAGGCCCCGCGAGGAGCCAGCCTGTCCAGCCTGAGGGCCCTGCTGAGCGAGGCCCTCCCTGCCCAGGCGCAGTGCGGGCAGCTCAGGTGGGCACCTCTCAGCCCGGGGAGGGGCCGGAGCTGGAAGAGGGGCGGCCGCACCGGGGGCTGCGGGTGTCCGGGATCCGCAGCAGCCCCACGGCCCCGGCCCGTGCAGGCCGGCAGCCCCTCGCTGCCCACACTGACGGGCCTCTCCGCAGTTACCGGGAGCCTGGCGGCCGCGGGCGCTGGGTCCCCCTGCCTGAGGAGCGGGCGCTGCAGCGGGCCTGGCGGGACGCGGCTTCTGGCCCCGAGGGGCTGCAGCTGCGGTGCCGGGTGAGCCTCGGGGAGCCAGGGCCTGGGCCTGCGTGGGGCAGCCTTGGGGGAGGAGGGCCCAGGGCCCTCCGGTGCCGGCTGACCCTGCGGTGTCCCTCCGCCACAGGCAGTAGACGGCCGGCCGGTCCTCTGCCAGGTGGTGGCCCGGCACAGCTACTCTGCCCAGCGGCCCGAGGACCTGGACCCGCAGCCGGGGGACACTGTGGACGTCCTGTGTGGAGGCGGGGCAGGCGGCGCCCTCTCCCCGTCACCGGCTGGGGCCACCGGGGCAGGCGGGGTCCGCGAGCGGACGTGGCATTGTGCCCTGTCCCCTGCAGTGGACCAGGCGTGGCTGGAGGGCCACTGTGATGGCCGTGTGGGCATCTTCCCCAAGTGCTTCGTGGTCCCGGCTGGCCATTGTGCGTGAGGAGCCCGGGCGGCGGCGGCGACACCAGCCCTGAGAAGCCCCGTGGCGGGAGGGAGGGTTTTAATAAAAGCGGTCTTCCCCCAGAGGAGCGGGCGTGCTCTGGGCTTGGTCACTCCGAGGCCTGACTGAGGGCATGGGGGGGGCAGGGCCGCTCCAGAGCAGCCCCTGGTCCCTCAGGCCGGGTGACACTGGGGCTCCAGGCGGGGCCTCCCTAGCCTCCTCTTGAGGACACTGGGCCCCCTGCCTGCCACTCCCGGGGAGGGGCCGCTCCCTTTTGCTCCAGCCATCGGTCCCCTCTCCTGGGCTCGACCCAGTGCATCATCCCTCTGGTGCCCGGCAGGCCTGGCAGTGGGCAGCTGTAGTGGGGGAGGGGACCCAGGGTGCCAGGACAGAGAAGCCACTGATGGGGAGGCCCCGGTGGGGGTCACGGCACTGCCTCCTTGGCCAGAGCAACTCTGTCCTGAGGTCGGAGCCCACAGGACAAGCCCCTGGGAGCTGCACAGTCAGGGGCTTGTGGAGGTCCCAGCCAGTGCGGGCGTCCAGGCTGGGTGGCCCGGCCAGGTGGAGCCTCTCGCGTGCTAGGAGACCTCCTGCTTAGTCCTTGAGCCAGAGCAGCAGGGCCGCGGCAGCAGCAAGGATGGCCCCAAGGGTCAGCACCGCAAAGGTGACACCGGCCACCCAGATGCCATAGCTCTGTGCCCGCCACTGGGCAGGGGCCTCGGCCGGGATCATGTTGGTCAGGTTCAGCATGTAGCCCAGCGTCCAGCCGATGTCGGTGCCGCCGGCCTGGGGGACGCACGGGCGGTCAGGGCTGTGGCCAGCCGCCCCCAACCCCCACCCGCCCCTCCTGGGCCCGGGAGGGAGCCACCTGCTTGCGGAACTCGATGCTGGGCCAGGTGTGCTCGCCGAACCCGTAGCCGTCCACCAGGAGCATGAGGATGTACAGGCCCGAGGCGCAGTAGTCACGCAGCCGGCTGTCCTGCCCGGCCGAGAGATCCTCCACCTGGGCCGGGAAGGGCCGGGGCCAGGTGAAGCCACGCCGCGGGGGCCGCCGGGGCCGGCCCCACCTGAGGCCAAGGGGCTGCCCTCCCTTCCACAGCCCCCCCAACCCCAGCGGTCACGCTGTCCAGGGTGGGGTCCCCCAGTCCCCGCTCGGATGCGCTGCCGCCCGGGCGGCCCCGGGGCCCACCCACCTGCCTCCAGGTCTTCTGGCAGAACTCCCAGACGGTGGCGTTGGCCGTGGCCAGCGGCTGCCCCGAGGTGAGGTTCAGGAAGTGGAAGGTGTAGTAGAAGCTGGAGAAGGCCTGTGGGGGGTCAGGGGTGTCTCTGTGCTGGGGCGGCGCTGGTCTGCACCCTGCCCCACGCCAGGTGCAGAGTCCCCAAGAGCCCCGAGTCCCGGGTCCACCTGGTGTCGGGCCCCGGGGCTCACATAGAACTGGCCCCGCACGGGGGGCTGGTAGACCCCGTTGAAGGCGCAGTCTCCCCGGCCCTCACAGCGGGAGAAGTTGAAGAGCTCCCGGATGGCCTCGACGCAGGCGCTGGGGTTCCCGGTGCCCTCCACGGTCAGGTTCGGGGGCAGGTGCGGGGGCGCTGTGCCCTGCACACAAGGCGACTCGAACAGGTGGGCCAGGGACAGCGTGTCCCGGTAGCCGCTGTGGTAGCAGGGGTGGCGGACCAGGCTGGAGGGGCTGCTCTGCGGAGGGGGCGGGAGGCGGCCCTGAGCACCTCCAGGGAGCGGGGGCTCGGCCGTCGGGCCCCGCCCCCGGGAGAGCCCACCTGCACCAGCCGGGCCAGCAGCCTGCTCAGTGCCTGGTCCCGCCCGAAGCAGAGGTGGCTGTGGGTGTAGACGCCGTGCTCGAAGCCGTAGAGGCGGAAGGTGGCCTGCGAGCTCTCGTCCTGGACGGGGCCTCCGGGCACGAAGGTGATCTGGGTGGAGGCCCCACCCATGTCCAGGGCGCCCACCAGCGTCCCCTCCGGAGGCCGGATCCACTCTCCAGAGAAGGAGCACTGAGCGGAGACGGGCACAGTTGGGGACCAGGGGGGCCGGCCGGCCCCGCTCCCGCAGCCCGCCCCCCCCCCGCCCCGGGGCTGCCCACGCACCCTGACCAGCAAGCCCAGGACGTAGTTGATGGTGATCCAACCAAAGGCACCTTCCTCCCGACCGGGCAGGAGCTCGGCGCCCCGGAAATCGAGGGGGGCCCGGCCCAGGGCCTGGGCAACCGCTGCGAAGACGCCCGCCGCCTGAGAGCTGTTCTTCCGGCTGCGCGGGAGGGGGCGCTGAGGTCCACGGGGGGCCTGCCCGCCCGCCTGCCCGCCCGCCTGCCCTTGGGAGTGCCGGCCCCACCTGAGCAGCCTCATGCCGGCTGTGGCCCCCAGGAACATGGGCGTTCGCGAGTGCTGGGCTGCCGGGACCGCGGCCAGCGCCTCCTGCAGGCAGCCCTGCAGGCTCTCGCCGGCCTGGGCGGGGTCGGAGGCGTAGGAGGAGATGCCAGGCCCTGAAACACAGCACCCCGGGACCGGGCTCCAGGCCCCGAAGGCTGGCTGGGCTGAGAGGGCCTGTGGGGGGTTGGACAGTGGCCCCCAGAAGGAGTGTCCACGTCACCTCCCCCCCTCCAGAACCTTCCAGCATGGCCTTCTTTGGGAAGAAGTCTTTGCAGATGTCAGTAAGGACCTGGAGGTGAGGTCCTCCTGGATCCCCCTAGGGGACCCCCATGGCGGGACAGGGCCCTCGTGAGAGAAGGGACAGGGGGCTGAGACCCGGGGAGGCAGCTGGGCAAGGGGCAGGGGCAGGCAGGGGTGGACCACAGCTGCAGGAACCCCAGGAGCCCCAAAGCCGGAGGAGGCAGGACCTCGGGCTCCAGCAGGGGCCTGTCCGCACCCAGGGAGGCCCTGGCGAGCTCTGGCCCTGCCCGGCCCTGCCTCCTAGGGCAGCCCACGCCACGTCTCGGAGCCCCTCTCCTTTAGGGCAGTCCCCCCGGGGGCAGACGCCAGCCTGTGCTGCCTTCCAGCCCCGCCCGGCAGGGGCCGTAGCTCCGGACACTGCCCACCTTTGACAGACTGGCCCACTGACCTTGCACCCTGCAGGCCAGGGCCTGGCTGACCACACCTGTGTCATTCTCCTTGTCCGCCGGCCAACGGTACACGAAGAGGGATGTGTGGGAGGAGCCCGCGTCGAGCACAACCCCGAACTGGGAGCGACACGGGGTTCAGGATGGCGCGGGCCTGCCCCTCCCGCCCCCGGCTCAGGGTCTGGGAGCACACCTTGGTGTCCGTGGGCAGCAGGACATTGGTGGCCTCCACCAGGATGAGAATGAGCGTGGTGAGGGCCGAGGCCGCGGTGATGCCCAGCAGGGCCGTGAGGACCCTCTCCTTGCTGGTCAGCTTCATGGTGGGGGCAGGGCTGCACCTGGGGGATGGGGCAGGGTGGGCAGCGGTGGGCAGACCCCCCCTCTCTGCCCTCTGGGGGTGTGGTGTGGCTCGCCAGGTCGAAGGGCAGGGCCGAAGGCCACAGCTGGGAGCCCGGGTGCAACGGGCTTTGGAGGGGGCGTGGGCACCAGGCACCAGGAGGCCGTGTCGGGGGGCGAGACTGGCATGGCCCACCACGCTCACGGACAGCCCAGGGGCCCCTTTCTGACACCACTGTGTGGCAGGACCAGTGGGGCTGCCTGCCCACCCCTCGGGGTGTCCGGGCTGGAGCCCTGCCCCCCCCACCTCACCCCCACAGAAGGCGCCCAGCTCTGCGGTCAGCTCTGGGCTGACCTGCGGGGCCCAGGACACCGGCTCCTGCCCACCTGCCTCCTCTCTGGGCCCCACCCTGAGGGCCCCCCGGGAGGGGCTTTCTCTGGGGCCCTGAGGTCAAGCCTGAGCCGGGGGGTGCAGGGGACCTCCCGTGGCCCAGTGAGTGGGGTCGGTGGGGTCTCGGGAAGCACACCCTGTCCCGGAAGGACCTCGAGGCGGCGTTAACAGACACCTGGTTTCTGCTTGAAAACCCAGCCTCCAGCATCTCCGAGCTGAAACCTTCTGGCCGGCTCCGGGTGGCCGAGGCTGACCCGCGGACACAGGGCCCTGGAGCTGGCCGCGCTCTCGGGGTCACCAGGAGCCTCGGGCCGGCGCACCGCTGCCCAGGGAACCCGATCTCCGGGTGGCAGCACTTTGGGGTCACGGGGTTCTGTATCGTATCGCCCATTCCTGCGCCCCTGCACTTCGTCCAAACTGAGTGACACCCGAGCAGGAGGCCGCCTCTGTCCAGGCTTCTGGCCCGTGGGGACTGCCACCGGCCACGTGGCTCTGACCCCACTTGGAGGAGGGGAGACGGAGGCACAGAGGGGACAGGTGACCTGCTCGGGCTACAGTCAGGGGAGGCCTCGGTGGGACCAGCCTGTGTCATCAGCCAGCACCCAGGCCGCAGGCCACCTCTCACCTCACAGTGACAAAGAGGTGGGTGCCAGGCAGGTGCCAGGGACACCAGGACCCCATGGCACACCCCACCTCCAGGGGACGTAGCATGTGAGCCCCAAGCCTTAACCCCCCGGGGTGAGCGAAGAGAATAGGAAGGCTCCCCACACTCAGGACAGCCCCCCCAGACCAGGACAGGACCCCCCCAGACCAGGACAGGACCCCCCAGACCAGAAAAGATCCCCCCAGACCAGAAAAAACCCCCCCACAAACCAGGACAGCACTCCCCCTGACTGGTACAGATTTGCCCAGACCAGGACAGACCCCCAGACCAGAAAAGCCCCCTCACCTGGGCTGGTGGGCAGCCGGCTGCAGCAAGGAGGAAGCTGGACTGCTCCCTCAGACACCTGCCAGGTTCTGTCCAGCCTGCCTCCCCCTCCCTGCCCTCCCCTCCCTATTACTCACCAGCCTCCTGGGTCTGGGCCTGCAGCCAGGCAGGTGGCAGAGGCTGACGCAGGTGCACTGCCAGCCAGAGCCACCCACCCCGCGCGGCAGACCACCCCCAGCGCACAGACCGATGACCGTGGCTCAGTGGGGTGGAGCTCCAGTCC